GAAGATTAATTTGATATATTACATATATAAAACTGATAAAAAATATAAAAGTTATTAACTTTTAAAATACATATACAATTCAATAGTTATAATAAGGAATGATATTAAAATACAATTAATACATTAACATGACCATAAATAATCAATATATTTATGGTAATCCGAACCTAATTATTTTTGGTTTGGAATTAAATTAAAATTTATCCAAACCTAATAACGAAGCATGTAATTTTGCCACATAGGATTCCGAAGCACCAGAAGCAGCCACGTAGGCTCAGCGCATTCTGTATTAATATATAGGGGGATTTGTTACATAATATATTTAAAATATTGAACTGTTTTGAAAAAATATTTCGGAAAACATATCTTGTTCTTTTTTATCTCAATTTTCACTTAAAAAAATTATGTACATGGATTCTATTACATAATATCACCTAAGGTTAAAAAGTTATAGATTAAACAAAATCAAAATATGTGAACGTTGAACATATCATATAGCAATTTTTCAATAAAAAAGATGAGTATACATATAATTTGGAGAACTCAATAATTATCCGGGTAAGTTGTGAGTTTCCAAAAATAAAAAAAAAAACATATGTGTTGAATTGAACGAATTGATAATTTGTTATATACAGTAATGCTCCCCTACCCACGGTGAGCATATGTTAATATGTCACCGCTTATGTGGCATGTATATATTGGTGATGTATTTTTTTGAACATATTAACATCACCAATGTGTGCATGCCACATAAGCGGTGGGCATATTAACATTTGCCCACCGTGGGTATGGAAGCATTTTTTTTTAAAAAAAAAATGACAACATATTTACGTATATGTTATACTTTATATTTGTTATTTACTTTCTAAATAGATACTCACGGATGTGCTGCAAATTTATTATCAGATTTTAAATTTAGAATTACCATCATTTATTATCATATTATCAATTTAAAATTATTTTAAGTACTTATTTATCAAATTTTAAAAGAAAAAATTAAAAATATTTTGAAATTCTTATATATAGTAAAATATAAATTTTATACTAGATTTTTTCTCATGTAAATATTTATTCATTTTTAATAATAGTAGAGATATATATAAATTCATTCATAGGTGTGTTGGTATCTATTTTAATATTTAAAAAAAAAAACTAAAGCATAATATTTTCAATATATATAAATCGTGTGATTCAATGAAATATATTAATTTACTAAAGGAATGTTTCATCCATTTTTTAGCTATAAAGGTTTTACTAGTTTTGCTCAAAAACACAGTGTATTTTAAATTTTAATGGTTCAAACTTTAATTTTTTTAAGAATAAATAAATT